CGCTGTTTGTCGCTACAACTAGAGGCTAGATGTCCAAACACAGCGGAGACAAACTGCTCACAACACCTCTCCAAACTGCTCACAACACCTCTCCAAACTGCTCACAACACCTCTCCAAACTGCTCACAACACCTCTCCAAACTGCTCAAGGAAAAACTATGTGTAAGGGGCCAAAAAAAAGAACAGCTTTGAATCAAAAGGAAAGATGACAACACTCTATGAGAAGTGGCGGGCTCAGCCATCACTCAGTCTTAGTCTGCTGTCATGTAATCCACTTCAATAAATAGGAACACACACAACAGAACACACTCACAGATGCACGCGATAAATGAGAGGAGGTCAGAGCAAACCCTTTCATTGAGACAGCTTTTGTGTCCCCACGCCCGGGACACCTTCCCCACGCTCCGGACACCTTCCCCACGCCCTGGACACCTTCCCCACGCCCACATGCACAGACACTCACGCGCCCACTCACACACTGACACTAATACTCGCACACTGACACTCAACACTGACACTGACACTCACACACCCACTCACACACGCCCACTCACACACTGACGGTCACACACTGACGGTCACACGCCCACTCACACACTGACGGTCACACGAGCCTGTCATTGAGAAGACAGGATTGAAAACAACCCATGGGGAAATATATTACAAACAAACAAACAGACAGACAAACAAACAGACAAACAAACAGACAACCACTTGTGGCAGCTGGTTCACCAGCATGTTGAACAAAGCACCAATCTGGTACTGTAAAGATGACAACCACCAATCTGGTACTGTAAAGATGACAACCACCAATCAACAACAATAGTACAAGTATTATGAACTGGCCACAACAGGACAGGTGACTCCTCTAGGAAACAAAGCATGGTCCGTCCCAAGAATTCACCAGTCTACAGTTTCCAGTTTTGTGTGTGTGAGTCATATGGTAGGTCGATCCGGTCCCATCCAGTTTTGTGAGCGAGTCATATGGTAGGTCCATCCAGTCCCATCTATCGTGGACTGACCATGGACTGTGGACTGACCGCAGACCGGGGACTGACCATGGACTGTGAACCGTGGACTGACTGTGAACCGTGGACTGACCGTGGACTGACCATGGACTGGGGACTGACCGTGGACTGACCATGGACCAACCGGCAAAGAGCAAAGTGAGCTGACCCCACAGAGGTCAAGCCGCCACACCCACTGACTGTGACCTCACCACCACACCCACTGACTGCAGACAAAACTAGGGCAAAAACCTCCCAGAATAAGAAAAGTAGCCGGTTTGAGAACGGCCGTCACTTGGACAGACACACGGCCTAGTGGGAGGGTGTTCTTCTACAGCAGGATGGGACACACCAGGGAGAAAGAGAACAACAACAACAACAACAGCAACAACAACGGATCAAAGTGCTAACCTCTACCAGAACGACAGTCCAACAGTTAGTAAGCAGGTAGTTCCCTCTCCAACACCTTTCTCATCTCCCATCCCAATCTTCCCTCCCCACTCGCTGAGAGTTTTGTTTTTCTCCCCACTCGCTGAGAGTTTCGTTTCTCTTCAGTTGCGCAGGGGAGAGAAGCAGCGCAGGTCTTCCTGCTCCAGGGGCGAGCGGCCGCCCTGTGTACTCAGGTTACTGGGCAAGTTGCCCCCCACTGACAGCTGGGAGGAGGGAGTGGAGGCGGGGCTAGGGTGCAGGCCGCCGCCCATCCGCTGAGAGGAGGAGGAGCTAGAGAAGTGGCTCTGGTGATACAGCCCCATGTGGGTGAGGGGGAGGGGCAGGGGGGCCAGGGAGGAGGGGGTGGACGACGAGGGCAGCCCGCCCCCACCCCCCCCTGAGGAAGAGGAAGATCCCGCGGAGGAGGAGACAGGGGGCAGCACGTTGGGGGTGGGGGTGGAGGAGGCAGAGGTGCAGGCAGAGCCCCCCCCACTGCCCCCACCCCCCGAGGAGGAGTGAGGGGGGGGCAGCATCTGGTTGTGGCCAAAGTGGTCGCGGATGAGTGGCACGTTGAGAGAGGGAAGCTGGCCACGCAGGTGTGAGTTGATGAGGTGCTGTGGGGAGAGGAATCCCCCGCTAGAGGACACGCCGGGCATCCCGGGGAACTGGTCCGCCCCGCCCCCGTGGCATGACGAAGGGAAGTAATCCAGAGGCTCCTGTTTGATCTGCTTCATCAAGCCCGACAGTGCGGCCTGGCCCGACGGTCCGTGCATCATGGAGCCCATGCCAGCCGTCAGACCGCCCATCCCCCCACCACCCCCCGACCCACGCAGCATGCCCTGGTTGTGGGCCACGGCTGGCAGCTGGCTGTTGTTGTTGTTGTTGTTGTTGTTGTTGCGGTTCTCGTTATTGTTGGGGTTGTTGCCGCCCTGCAGGCTGTCACCGTTGCCGTGGTTCCCAATGCCCACGCTGGCGCTGCGGTTGTTCAAGTCCCCTCCATGGTTGCTGAAGCCTCCATCTCGGTCTCTCTGCTGCTGCTGCTGCTGCTGCTGCTGTTGCTGCTGGTTAAAGTTCCCGGAGAAGCGGTCGTCGAAGCCTGAGGCCTGTGAGGGCCCCCCGCGGAGCTCCCCGAAGCGACTGTTGAGCAGAGCCGCATCACGGAACGCCAGCTGGTCGGAGAAAGAGTTGAGGCCAGACATCATGTTGTCCTGTAGGCTGAACCGGTTGGCAGACGCCAAGAGGGCCAGAGGGTCCGCGCCGCGGGAGAAGTTGCCCATCCCCGAGAACGGGATCTGGTGACCCAGGTCATGACCTCTTCCCCCCGGCCCCTGACCCAGCATTTGACCTTGACCCCCAAGCCCGGAGGCGGCTGATGCGGAGAAGTTGTCCCCCCTGGGGGGCCCCATCTGTTCCCCGACAAAGATGATCTCGTCGTCCTCCGAGGAAGTGGGGCTACGTGCCCGCGTGCTGCTTGCCTTCATGGCCGCCATGTTGCCAGGGAAACCTGGCTCAGTGGACGAGGAGACGGGGACCATGGTGGGGGCGCCACCGTACAGATCTTTGGCCTTCCTCTTGCGCCGCTTCTTGGGGGCGGGCGGAGGGTGCTGGTCGATCGGTTTGATATGGATGTGCATCTGAGGAGGTGGAGAAAGAGGAGACAAGGAGTAGTGTGTGTGGGGAGGTGGAGAGAGAGGAGATGGAGAGAGGAGATGGAGAGAGAGGAGGTGGAGAGAGAGGAG